CCACGAAATATGATCAAGAGCCACGACGAGTATAGGGTTTGAATAACAATCGGTAGAGAGGTTTAGGGATGGTTTAGGGCTTGGGGTTGAGGACTGATAGTTTGAGGTCCGGGGATTAGGGACGAGGATGTAGGATGGATTGGCTTTCGGTTTAGGGTTCGACTCCGGGATGGAGCTCGGGCTTTAAGGATTTTAGGGTTTTGGATTTTAAGGTTTAGGGTTTAGGGTTTAGGATTTTAGGATTTGGGGTTTCGGACTTTAGGGTTTAGGATTTTTAGGGTCTAGGGTTAAGGAGTTTAGGGTTTAGGATTTAGGATTTCAGGGTCTCAAACTCCCCGACTGAGCCCCCCTCAGTCCTCCCTCTCCCTCTTGCTCCTCAATGTAAGCGATGCTCCTTCGCAAGCTCTAAGGTTCAATTCGCAGGCATTTAAAGGGCTCCTGAAAGGGTTCCTTGAAGGGCTACTATCAGGGCTTGGGGATCGGGGCCTTAATAATTAGAATGGGGTTTTCTATAAGGATACGTAATGAGGAACCCTCAAAATAGTATAGGTAATCATTTAGGCCCCTATATTCTGCAGAATCACATCGATAGCATAGCTCAGTCGTAAGAACCAAGTAGTAGCACTACGCGGGATAACACTGACAGCTGCGTGATAGATAGAACCGCGATCATAAATACATACATCGTTACAGCGACAGAAGTCCAAATGTTGATCGGACTTCTGTAAACCTAAGACAAAAATCTCTTCCGGTTCCGGAACCAACCTTAGCCACGGAATAAGTCTGAGCTCTTGGCCCCCCAACACTGCAAAAACCCTCGGCAAACATCTTCCAGAAACCCTAAACCCCCCGGGGCTCCAAATAGCCCAAAGTAGGTACTATTTATAGACTTTAGACCCCGAAGTAGGTGCTGTTTGTATACTGGGAGCCCTAGGGACCCTAAACCGCAAACCCTGGCAATGCCCTGATTAAAGCACCAGGCCCAGAAGCCCTTTGACTCTGAATGAGGGCCCCTATTGAGATCCCACGCACAGCACGGCACCCTCATAAAAAAGACCCTAAAAGGGACCCTGATTTTAGAACTGCCCATATGACTCGGAACATGGTTTGTGGGCACAAAAACCTTCAAATGTGAGTTCCGAGAGCGCCTCAGGGCGCAAAACCAAAAACAACCTTGTTTGAAGCATTGAGCTAAAGGCTAAACCCTAAACCCTAAACCCAAACCCTACACCCTAAAAAAAGGCCAAGGCTCAGCCAATCCCCGAAGGTTGAGAACATCGCCTTGGGTCTAGGGTTTAGGGTTTAGGGCTCCGCACAGGGTTTCGCAGGGTGTCCAAAGGGCTTCATGGGCCTTTTACTAGGGTCTTGCAGGGCTTAACTAGGCGTCCTACGGCTTGATGTGGTTGGCTGACTACATGAATACACATACACATATACTATATAGAAGAATCATACAAGGACTATCGCAGGGGAGACAGTCACATACTCACACCTCTACATGAAGGGTTCTACAAGGGTTTCCATAATTAGGGCACCGCGGGGTTTTAACGATTATATAGCAGTTAGGGGGTTTAAGATTTGGCCAAAACCCTAAATCCTAATTACACCCTAAACCCTAAACCCTAAACCCTATAAACCCTAAGCCCGTCCTGCAGTTGAGCTTACGGACTTCAAGTGGAGAGATTAGCGGTCCAAGTTCGGTCTGAAACGTACAGCTTCGGGGGGGATAGGGTTTAGGGTACCCTATACCCTAAACCTACCCTTACAACCTGAACCGTACCTTTACCTTAACCCCAAGTAACCTACTTTTGTAGGACAGTACAAAGAAATCATCATAAGGAACCCTAAAAACAAGGGTTCTTTTGGGGCTCAGGTAAACCTTATCGCAACCCGATGGAGCATGCCAAGCTGCTTCCACTGCATCAAGATGCTGTGGATTGAAGCCCGAGCTGTCCGGATCCGAAAACCTCACTTGCTGAGTTTAGGGTTTAGGGCTGTTAGGGTTTAGGGTTTTTAGGGTTTAGGGTTTAGGGTTCAGGGTTTTTTTTTTAGGGCTTAGGGCTTTTAGGGTTTAGGGTTTAGCGTATAGGGGCCTTAATAATTAGAGTAGGGTTTCGGGGTATATTATACTTATAATAAGGAGCCCCCAAAACAGTATAGGTAATTATTAAGGGTATTATGGTTACCGGGTGCGATGTTTAAGGGTTGCTAATGTCTACGGGCTACTTTCTGGGGCATTAGAAAACCCTAAACCCGAAAGCCTAACCCCAAACTTTAGGGTTCAGGCTTTTTTTGAAGCTCGGTTGACGAGGGTTTCGGTGAAGGCTGCACCTTCTGCGCTTAATATAGGGGCCTTAACAATCGGAAGAGGGTTTTGGGGAATATCATACTATAATTATAAGAAGGAAACCCTCACCCTATTCTAAGTATTGAGGACCTTTGTCAGTTTCAGGAGCGTTACTGCAAACCCCATCGGACCCTGAAACCCTGTGGTCACAAGCCCTAAACCCTAAACCCTAAACGTTTAGGGTTTAGGGTTTAGGGTTTAGGGTTTAGGGTTTAGGGCCTCTAAACCCCCAAATCCCTAAACCCCTAAGCCCTAAACCGCTGAACCTCTAAACCCTAGACCCTAAACGGCAACAAAGCGCCCCTTGCAGATCTCAAGAACTCTTGAAGGTTGAAGGTTTGGGGTTTGGGGTTTTAGGGCTTAGGGTCTACCTTAACCTCAAAAAACCTATCTGTTTACGGACTTGTATAAAGAAATCATAATAAGGAGCCCAAAAAGGTATGTTCTTCAGGATCTAGGTAGGGTTTAGGGCTAACCTGTAGGGCATTCAAGGCTAAGAAGCTTGGCATACTGCTGCATGGCGATGACGACCTGAAAGCGTGTTGGCTCAGGGAAGTGCTTGGGGGCTTAGGATTCCCTTCAAGCGTTCTGGTACCGGCTTAGATAAGGGCTCCTACAAGTGGCACTTTAAGACTTTAAGGGTTCTACAGGGGCTTTAGATTTTTCTTTTAGAGCCATAAATCCCTGAACCGGGTGTTTGGCAAAGTATGAAAGAGGGCTTGCTGGCCCAGAAGGTTCAAGACTGGTCCGGGTTGAAGAGGTTCAAGCTTCAACCATCGTAAAAACTAGAGCTGCTACAGATTCCCATGGAAGTATCATGAGATCACCTGGATGGCTGGATACACACGGATCGTTGCGCACCAAAGCTTGGATCTTTGTGCCTATGAAAAACGGTCCGGATAGCAACCCTACATCTTCAATTCCTGAAGCTCTCAACCCTAGAACCCGCTGGCCAACATACGGGCCTCTGTCGGTGCAATAGGTTCTATTCTACTTACAGTAAAGAACTCGAAAGAAGGGTATTATTATATAACCCCGAGGGTCCAAGTATCCATTATGAAGGACTTTGGGGCCGTTTGGGGTACTTAAAAACCATAAATAAGGACTACCTGGACCCTTAGCGCAAATTATTCAATCTTCTTCGGTTTAGGGTTTAGGGTTTAGGGTTTAGGGGTTGGATTTATCCTGCACCCTGCATCCCACCTGAAGCCGCTGGCGAACGAGCTCCTCACCGAAGCCCATGCTGTCTCCCAATGTTTGATGCTTGGCCAACGTTTGCAGCGCATGCCCATACGCGTGGCAGATGCCTCTCACGGGGCCAGGCCACACATCCACACTAATGTGCAATAAGGAGATTGCTGTCACAGCCCGCATCACCGATATTAGCTTGCTGGACAGTTTCTTGGTAAGGCATGTGTCTTAAGTTGCCATAATAAGGATATAAAGCAAACAGCATGCCACTCATACTTACAGTATAGTATAGACCAAGTTCCATACAAGAACCCAGTGAAGCTAACCCTTCGAATTCGGTTTCAGCAAGGCGACTTCGTTTGCTTCCACTGGCTCTTTACTCAATCCAGCACCATCTGCTTCACACAGCGAAGCTACATATCTCTGTACATATGCATACGTACATAGATTTCTATGCTTACATATATACACATCCATCATCCTTCCATCCATGAACCCAGAAACGCAGACAAGCAGACCTAGAGACAGATGGACAGACAAACACTGTGGCACTACACTAGTGTCTAGAGCTCGACGAGACACACAAACACAAACACACACAAACACACGCTGTCACAAACACACACACACACACACACACACACACGTGTTCCATTTAGGAGCCTAGGCGACCTTTTCCTGAACCAGCAACAAACTGGAGGGTTCAGGCACGCGTAGCCCCAACCTACACCAGAACCTCTAGACCCTAAACCCTCAACCCCTAAACCTCAAACCCTAAACCCTAAACCCCAAACCTCTAGGGCAGCCCAGATTCCATCCACTGTGCGCCAAAGCGTCTGCATGCGGAGGGACGCCCACTCGCAAAGGGCAGCTTCCAACCAGTTCGGCCCCCTGCTCTCGCTGTCCGCACCTATTGGCTAGGGTTTAGGGTTTAGGGTTTAGGGTTTAGGGTTTAGGGTTTAGGATTTAGGGTTTAGGGTTTAGGGTTTAGGGTTTAGGGTTTAGGGTTTAGGGTTTAGGGTTCAAGGCTTCAGGGTCAGCAGAGCTCCTTTGCGAGTGGGGGTATAAGAAGTATAGGCAGGGACAACAAAAGTTAGTATCTAGCGAATTAGCACCCTTCTTGATGTCCTACTTCTTATATAACTCCCTTGATCTCTGAAAAAAGGTTTAGGCCTAAACCCTGAACACCAAATTCTAAATACTAAACCCTAAACTCTATTAGGTCTTATCATATATCGGCTTTCAGAGCTTCACGAGGGTCACGGCAAGGGAGATGACTCTGGCTGCCCTACTCCTGGTTCGGGTTTAGGGTTTGGGGTTTGGGGCTCCATGGCACCAAACGACCAAAAGTCCGAGACCCTCGAACCCTGCATGAAGAAAAGTTCCGATAAAGCCGATAAAGGCTCAAAGACAAGACGAACCTTGAGCATTGAATCCCAAACCCGAAGGGTTTAGGGTTTAGAATTTACGGGTTGAGGGAACCCTGAACCCTAAACCCAAAGCCCAGTTTTGAGTCCTAAGTGTTTCAGGGCGCCCACCTTCTAGACGTTCGATGAGATTTCGGAACTCGTCCCTGTAGTACTTGATCAGAAAGCGCAGCAAGTCGTTCGACACAGAGTCTGAGAAGAGGTCCTGCTTTACGAGTTGTGGCTTAGAGCCTTGAGAGTTTAGGGTGAAGGGCGTGGGGTTTCTCAGCGACTAGCCGTAGCCACGCCCAAACCGAAACCCTAAACCCTAAACCCTAAACCCTAAACCCTAAACCCTAAACCCTAAACCCTAAACCCTAAACCCTAAACCCTAAACCCCTATCCCTAAGCCCAGCCCTAAGCACTAAACCCTTCCGTGCAACTCAGCAGCTCCCGTAGGCCCTAAGCCCTACCCATGGGCCCCAATAGTAATTTAGGGTTTAGGGTTTAGGATTCGTTTTGGGGATTCCCTAATAGGATTTTTGGGGATTCCCTAATAGGATTTTTTTGGGGATTCCCTAATAGGATCCTAAATCTAAGCCACAAAAAAGGAGCTACTATGGGGCCTATGGGTAAATCCCTAAACCGTAAACCCTAAACCCTGAGTTCCTGGGGAAATCTAGAAACCGACACCCCGACAGCCGATGTAGGTTGCTGTTGATCTCATGCTGAGGCCTGTAGGGTTTAGGGGTTTAGGGTTTAGGGAGTTTAGGGTTTAGGGTTTAGGGTTTAGGGTTTAGGGGTTTGGGGGTTTTGGGGTTTATGGGCTTAGGCTGTTTAGGGTTTAGGTTTAGGGGTTGAGGAGTTAAGGTTTAGGGTTTAGGGGTTTAGGGGTTTCGGGGAACTATCGGGGGGATGTCATGCCCATTTGTTCATACCTCATAGTAGACCAAGTAACATAGGGGCCTTAAAATTGGAATAGGGCTTTGGGCTCCTTTATAGTATTATTTGAATAAGGAACCCTAACACTAATATTGGTAATTATTTACGGTTCTAGTTAAAAAACTACAAGGAGCATGCAGTGCCCTAAACGTTAAACCCTAAACATTAAACCCCTTGCAAACTGCGAGCCCTCCACTTCGAACTTCCAGCCCAACGCCCTCTTCGAAACAGAAAAATCCCCTGTATTGCGGGCTTCGCTAAGAAGCCTCGGGCCGAAAGGGGCTAAGCTTGTTTAGGGCTTGCAGGTCTTAGGGGTTTAGGGGTTTAAGAATTTAGAGGTTTAGGAGCTTGTAAGGTTTAGGGCTTGCAGGGTTGAGGGGTTTGGGACTGAGGGTTTAGAGGTTTAGGAGTTTCGGGTTTCGGGGTTTAGGGCTTAGGGCCTATGGGACCTTGCTGCCAAAACGTCCCTGAGTTCCAGGTTCTGGAACTCATGGGGTCTAAGTAGTTCGGCAGAAACCACGCAAGCCAAGCACCCGAGACTCCGAACCCGAATCCCCGAAACCCAGTTTGCCAAACCCACGCTGTCAATCCACTCTGAGCCCTAAGCCCTAAACCCTAAAGCCTAAGCCCAAAAATCCTAAATCCAAAGCCGTTCATTTTGCCACCAAACTCTTCACTTTGAATGCAGACAGCGCTAAACACCAAATCACTGGATTCCAACAAGAACCGAACCGACCGGAGATGGTTTCGGGTGTGAGGCTTAGATTTTAGAGTTCCGGATTTTGGCTAAGGCCAACTCGAAAGCCTCAACACTTAAAGCCCAAAGCCCCTGCACCCTAAACCCCTAAATCCCTAAACCCTAGGCCCTTATAAACTCTAAAGCTCGACCTTAACTCCTGAACCATAAACCTTAAACCCCAAACTTTAACTCCTGCTTGGAGTATCTGATCGTCTCGGAGTAGTGGGGGATCAGCACGGATAGGGTAGGCATCTGCTTCACTGGCGCAGATGGCAATGGGTCCTGTGGCTGATTCGGGGTTTAGGGATAGGGTTGAGGGTTGCTTCAAAGGTTCAAGCGATTTTATTTTTAGGAAATTACATGGGCTCTGGACGTGCTCTGTTAGGGCTCGCTCCGTTCGATCAGGACTCAGAAAAGGCTACTTTCCTGGCTTGGGGTTTTAGGAGCTTAGGCGAAAAAGTAACGTAGGGGTATCAAGAATCAGAAAAAGGGTTTGGGGCATAGACGGTATAGAGTATGTGCACGACTCTGATGAACAACACCCATTCTGTTGGGAGGGCAACAGCCATACCTCGCATACTCTGTACTGAGCATGGGGTTTTCGATGACCCAAAACCCCCTTAAAAACTAAACCCTGAACCCTAAACACTAAACCCTAAACCCTGAACCCAGAACCCTCAACTCTAAACCCTGAACCCTGAACCCTAAACCCTTAAACCCCAAACCCTGAAACCCTTAAACCCCGAACCCTGAAACCCTGAACTCTGAAACCCTGAACTCTGAACCCTAAACCCCAAACCCTAAACTCATGAGGGTTTAGGGTTTAGTTATCCAATGAAAAGGTATAGTAAACCACCAAAAAAGTTGGAAACCGGATTAAGGCGAATTAGTGCCGGGATTCCCTATACCTGACTCCTGAGACCCTGGAGGCTGTTGAGCTTCCAACAGGTGGGCTTCCGGTTTAAGGTTTAGGGTTTAGGGTTTAGGGTTTAGGGCTTAGGGTTTAGGGTTTAGCGCTTAGGGTTTAGGGTCTAGGGTTTAGACCTCGAACCCTGAACTCATAACCCTAAACCCTGAACCCTATGAAACCATACACAACATACCCTACACCCTAAACCCCTGAACCTTAGACCCTATCTTATGCGCTAACGCAGCCAGCCCTTATACGAAACTTACAGGGCGCTCGACAATGACTTTTCAGCCACATCCTGTTCTGGGGGGTTAGGGTTTCGGGGCGTAGGTTTTAGGCTTTTGTGGCTTTATTGGCTTTAGGGTTTCCGGTTAGATAGGACCCCGAACCCTTGGATAAGACCCCAAACCCTAAACACCCAATCCCCTTGCCAACACCACAAAGAAACTTGAGGCAAATCAACCCGTTAATCGCTCCGTCCCCATGAAAAGCCCTGTTGACCGGCTTAGAACCCCTTTTTTATGATAAACATCCAAGCCCCAAACCCCAAATCTAAATCGCAAGAAGCCTAAACCCTAAACCGATGCATAGCTCTGGCAGCGATTACCCCTACAGTGCCATTCTTGAACCCTTAAAGGAACCCTCCAACCGAAGACGAAGCTCCCGTCATCCTAACTGACTGTAGAATCCTTTCAGGAAACTCATACGAAAAAGGGTTAGGGTTTAGGGTTTAGGGTTTAGGGTTTAGGGTTTAGGGTTTAGGGTTTAGGGTTTAGGGTTTAGGGTTTAGGGTTTAGGGTTTAGGGTTTGGGGGCCTATAATAAAGCACAAACCACCCAGAGAAATGATTGTAGAACCCTTTGAAGACACTCTTTTAAAAGGAAGCATCGACCACAACCCCCCTGGAGAACACAACCCCTTGAACCTATCCCAAACCCTAAACGCCCAGAGAACTCTTATAGAATCCCCCCAAAAGAAACGTTTGAACCCTGAAAGGACCCCAACAGGAACCGAAACCCCAAAACAGCCGAACCCTAAACCCTAAAACCCTAGACCCTGAACCCCAAACCCCCAAAAAAACCTAAACCCTAAACCCATACAGTACCCCTTAAAGATCTTTTATAGGAACCCTTATAGCTCTCCTTTTAGGACTTTAAAACCCTAAAGCCCGAGCCAAAGATCTCTTATAGGAACCCTTATAGCTCCTTTTAAGGCTTTATAAAACCCTAAAGCCACAGGCCGGTCCATCTGCACGGACCGCGCCAAAGTGACGATGCGCCGGCGAGCTTCGAGGTTGGCGGGCAGCGCGTTGAGGCTCATGGCCTGCTTTGTCTTTTGAGGTTCAGGATTTGAGTTTGGGTTTAGGGTTTAGGGTTTACGGCCTGTTTTGTCTTTCGGGGTTTTCGGTTTTGGGTGCAAAGGTTTAGGGTTTACTGCTTTGGGCTGAGGACTTGGGTTCAAACTCAAGGGTTTAGGGTTCAGGGTGTAGGGAATAGGTGTTTAGGGTTTAGGGCTCAAGGTTTGTATAATTCTACAGGGTTCAGGTCCGGAGTTTGGTCGATTGCTGATGGCATGCATTCTGTTCAGGGGATTATTGCGGTTTTCAATATGTGTTTTTGTTAGGGTTTTCAAGCTTAGGGTTCAGATTGTAGAAATCTCTACAAAAGGTCCATCAGGGTTCATTGAGGGGTCCCCAGGGTTCCATGAGGGGTCCCTTTGCTCAGTTTAGGGCTTCTGTAAGAGTTAGAGGGATCTTGTAAAGCGAAAAGCTTTCCCAAGTTGTTTATCATGGTCATAAGCTGCTGCGGCGGCTACCGGGATTCTTGCATGGTTCCCTAAACCCTAAACCCTAAACCCTATAAACCCTAAACCCTCAACCCTAAACCCTAAGCCCTAAACCCTAAACCCTAAACCCTAAGCCCTAAACCCTAAACCCTAAACCCTATAAGACTGCAAGAGCTACAAGGATCCTCTGAGGGCTCTATGAAGATTTTCTGTCTCCGGCATCACGCCACTGACCCTCCGCGCCTCAAATCGTAATAGAGGGGCCTTAATAATTAGAATAGGGTTTTGGGTTTGGGGCCCATTATACAATAATTAGAATAGGGACTCCCCAAAAATAGTAGAGGTAATTCTTCTATAGTATCCTTCTTCGGCTCCTTGTGCTTCGTCCGCAAGTGCTGCTCGGCAAGCCCACTTGTCCCCTACAAAGGGCAGTGCACGCCTTCTGGGTCCGGCGATGCCAGAGTTTAGGGTTTAGGGGTTTAGGGTTTACGGTTTAGACTTTAGGGTTTATAGGGTTTAGGGTTTATAGGGTTTAGGGTTTAGGATTTAGGGTTTAGGGTTGAGAGTTTAGGGTTTAGGGTTTATAGGGTTAAGGGTTTATAGGTTATAGGGTTTAGGGTTTAGGGTTTAGGATGGTTTAGGGGAGCTTCCTGACATGCTTGACTTCGGCAGCGCAGCCGATGGTGGTACTCGGGTCCCAATCTCTGAGCCCTAAAACCCCAAACCCGAAACCTCCTAAAAAAGAGCCAATGTAAGGGCCTTTAAAGTATTAACATAATAAGAAAACTAATAAGGAATAATGTTGGTAATTACTTTGGCTTCTATAGTAAGGCGCCTGAAAGAGGCGCGGCACGCGGCCCTGGCGCGCCTCCTCCACCGACCTCGACAGAGGTCGCAGCTGGGGCTTGCTGGAAGGTTCATGGGCAGTTGTAACCCTAAACCCTAAACCTAAACCCTAAACCCTAAACCTAAACCCTCAACCCTAAACCCTGAGGTGTAGGGTTGAAGGAGTTGAAGGTTTAGGGTCGTTGTAAGTGGGGTTCTAAGTCCCTTAACCTTTCAGGGTTCCTTTAAGGGGTCCTTTCAGGGTTTGGTGTTTGGGGCTCCTTTAACGGTTTCTTTAAAGAGCTCCTTTGAAGGATCCGTTGAAGAATCTATAGGGGCTACAGTTCAGGGTTTAGGGTTTGGGGTTCAGGGTTTAGGGTTTAGGGTTCAGGGTAAATCTTGACTAATGACGACATTACGGCCCTGATTGTGGTGCTCTGCTAATCTCTGCTCTTTGACTCTCTGCTGTCATAAAAGAAGGCGGCACCCTTATAATATAGGGATTTTACTAATTACCTGTACTATGTTGGAGGGGTTCCTTATTATAGTTATAGTACAATCTACCCCAAAACCCTGTTCTAATCATTAAGGCCCCTACATTAAACCCTATTCTAATCATTAAGGCCCCTACATTAAACCCTATTCCAATCATTAAGGCCCCTACATTAAACCCTAAACCCTAAACCCTAAATAAACCCTAAACCCTCAACCCTAAACCCTAAACCCTAAATCCGGAAAACGACCGATATCAGGCAGAGAGAAGCCAGAAGTTTCCCTGAGCGCAAGGAAAAGAGCAGAAGAGAAGAGAGAGACCTAGGTTAGGGACCCAAGAAGCACATAAGCATAAACCTAAACCCTAAACCCTAAACCCTAAACCCTAAACCCATTTTATAGGGATATCCCTACCCTACTGGGCTTCATTATAAGGGGATTTATATGGGATTCAGACAGAGACAAAAAGAGAGCCACAAGTTTAGGGCTTAGGGTTTAGGGTTTAGGGTTTAAAGTTTGGGGTTTAGGGTTTAGGGTTTAAGGTTTAGGGTTTAGGGTTTAGGGTTTAGGGTTTAGGGTTTAGGGTAGAGAGTCACAAACACATTCAGCCAAATGCAAGTGCAAGCACGCCCCAGATCAGAACCCCGCCCAGGGATACCTGTGGCCGCCAGCAAGCGTCCATAGACTTGCTCGAGGCACAATTCCTGGGAATTCTGAATTTGCTCTGGTCGCAATAGTCCATGTCGACCTTGAGGAGGCCACTACCAGAAGGCAAACTCCCACAGGTGGTGGGCTGCTCATATATATATGGTTGAGGCGCCCTTGGATTTGTCGGCCGATGGCTGCGCCGCGGGAGCGGCGCCCGATGGCTGCGCCGCGGGAGCGGCACCCGCTGGCTGCGCCGCCATGCGGTCTCGCCGATTTTCAATCGGCAACATCGATCTTAAATGTATCTAGGACATGATGTGCATCCGTGCATGTGCCCTGTCACCCATGGTGCATGCATGGCATGGGCCCTCGCTGGGCTTCTACAATGTCCGCCGTTTCCTGGGCAATGAGGCCCTTTCGCATCCGAGCGATGAATGAGGCACACTTGTGGCACCTGGAGAACATGGGACATCCTCCAATGCTGCTGCCGTTCCGTCAGTTTCCCTTTCAAATTCAAAACTCCTGTTCTAGTTCTTCAGGTCCGTGAAAGCCCTGTACAAAGTCCGCATAACCGTTCCAGATCCCGTAGAAACACTTACAAACCGAAAACCACAACAAAAACAACAGTACGCTCCCCTATACCCTAAACGGTTTAGGGTGTTAGGGTTTAGGGTTTAGGGTAACTCAAAACCCCAAGTGAAGACCTTTGACAAACCTCATCCTTCCACACTAGGCCCCAAACGAGTGCTCCTAATATGAAACCTTAATAATGTTAATAGGGTTTTGGGGTATAATATGCTATAATTATAACAAGGAATCCCCAAAACCCTATTCTGATTATGAAGGCTCCTCTACTACTCCTAGGGCTTCCTTTATCCTTGAGACCACTTACTAGTAAACCCAGCACATTATCCTACACCCTACGCCCAAAATCCTACACCCCAGACCCTAAACCCTTCACCCCTAAACCCTTAAACCCTAAACCTTAAACTCCTAAAGCCCTACACCCCTAAGCCCTTAAACCCTGAAACCTAAACCCCTAAACCCCTAAACCCCGACAACCCCAACACCCTGTGGAAAGCGAGCAGTCTCGGGAGTCCCGGCCCAAACTTCAAGAACTCATGTTCGCGATGGCACAACAAGTCCCTTCCTCGTAGCTCCTGGGGCGTAGGGCTTACCCTAAGGCTCCGAAGAGAGTTTATGAATTTAGGGTTTCGGGGTTTAGGGGTTTAGAGTTTAGGGGTTTAGAGTTTAGGGGTTTAGGGTTTAGGATTAAGGGCTTCTAAGAGGGTCTTAGGCTTTCTGGGGTAGGGTTTCGGCTTTGGGGGGCTTGGGTTTGAGATCTCACCCCTAAGCCCTAAACCCTAAACCCTGAACCCTAAACCCTAAACCCTAAACCCACTACAAGGGGCCCGGAGCCTTAGGGTAGGGCCTAGCTCATGAGCTTTAGGGCTTAGGGTGCAGGGCATGCAGCCTACACCTCTTAACCCCAAACCCCAAAGAGCTTAGGGTTTAGATTTAGGGTTAGGGTTTAGGGTTTAGGGTTTAGGGTTTAGGGTTTAGGGTTTAGGGTTTAGGGTTTAGGGTTTAGGGTTTAGGGTTGAGGGTTGAGGGCTGAGCTTCAGGTTTTCGACTTCATGTCTTTAGGACATCCAGGGTTTATAGATTAGGGCTCTAGGCCGTCGGACGTTTGCCTAGGGTTTAGGGTTTAGGGTTCAAGGTTTAGGGTTTAGGGATTAGGGTTTAGGTTGGGCATCTTTAACTAGAAGGTCCTTGCAACCCCCTATATAGAGCCAGAATACCTCGAGGATCAGAGGCTCATTATGTGCCTTAATGGAGGTTTGTCCTTGGGGTTTAGGGTTTAGGGTTTAGGGTTTAGGGTTTAGGGTTTAGGGTTTAGGGTAAAGCTACCTTACTCACACCTGCACTTACTGTCTCGCCTTGTCCTTAATCTCTCCCTCTCTGCATCCTTACAGGCCCTACCCTACAGCCCAAACCCTAAACCCCTGAACCCCTGGCCTGAACCCCTGAACCCCTAAACCCCTAAACCCTTAACCCTAAACCCCTGAACCCCAAAACCCTTAACCCTAAACCCCTGAACCCCAAACCCCTAAACCCCTAAACCCCTAAACCCCAAACCCTAAACCCCTTAACACCAAAACCCTAAACCCTAAGCCCCTTAAACCCTAAACCCCTAAACCCCTAAACCCTTAACCCTAAACCCCTTAATACCTCAAAACCCTAAACCCTAAACCCCTGAACCCCAAACCCCTAAACCCCTAAATCCCTAAACCCCAAAACCCTAAAACACGAAAATAGAAGGACCCTTGACATGAGGAACCCCTGAGCTCCACCGTTCGATGTCAGGAGTTTCGCTACATACCACAGGTTTAGGGTTTGGGGTTTAGGGCTTCAGGGGTTTAGGGTTTAGGGTTTAGGGTTTGGGGTTTAGGGTTTAGGGTTTAGGGTTTAGGGTTTCGGCTCTAGGGGTTTAGGGTTTCGGGTTTAGGAATGCAGGATGGGGCACTTCGGGGGGACAAGGCTCCCCTAAGGTTTCTATCAGGGATTTGGTGACTTAGACGGGAACATCTGCAACTACGCTGTAGCCTCGGCTCGCAATTGCAACTCTACTTCTATCAACCCCCATGGCTCAATCCAATACTGTAAGATTCAGGCTCTGAGCTCGAGGCTTCAGGTTTTACCCTAAGGCCTCTGGCCCCTTGTAGTGAAAGCCGCAGAGCTCTCCAAGTCTAAGTTGCCATCATTCAATCATCAACATGGGACGTTGAAAGCTAGGCCAACGGTGTACGGTTTGAGGTTTATTTAAAACCCTAAGCCCTAAATCACTTATAAACCTTAAGCACCGCCGTTGAAGCGCACTTGGTTCATTGGGCTTTGGGCTTTCGGGTCTGATTTGAACTGTGCGCCCAATTGATGGCGTATGCCCATGCATGTTTCGTCGACGCCATCACGACGACCAGTGCTCTTGAAGAGCGGCATACGACCTTGGCGTCGTCTACGAGTCCGGTAATGCACCGGATGGAGAACCTTGTGAAGCCGGCTCCACAACTCAAGGAGCTCGCGGATGGCGCAGTGCCTCCGACTTCCACAGATCTCAAGCCCTAGCCCCCAAAGCCGAAACCCTACCCCAGAAAGCCCAAGACCCTCTTAGGAACCCCTAAATCCTAAACGGCCTTAGTGGCTGGGAAAAAAGTAGCGATATGAAAACCTGGAGAGCCTAGGCCCTAAACCCTAAACCCTGAACCTCTAAACCCTAAACCCTCTTATAACTCCCCGGTTAGCCAGCAAGTAGCCCCAAAACAAGACGTGTGCCCATTCTTCCTACTAGTTGCCTTTAATAGGGTTTAGAGGTGTACCCTAAACCCCAAACCCTACACCCTAAACCCTAAACCCTAAACCCTCAACCCTAAACCCTGAACCCGCCTACTAGTTGCCGTCAACAGGGGGAACCCAAAAAGAAAAAGTGCAACAGTCTACACCTGGGGAGAACCTCGACTCCGTAAAAGAACGACTTCTATACTACTAAGGGTTTAGGGTTTAAGGTTTAGGGTTTAGGGTTTAGGGTTTAGGGTTACTACTAAGTCCCCCGACCCTCCAAGTCGCACCCAAACTCGACCTGATCTGCAGGTTTCCGGCTTTAGGTCTTGAGGGTTGAGGGTTTAAGGTGCGAGGGCTTGGGGTGAGGGTTTAGGGTTTAGGGTCTAGGGTTTTAGGGTTCAGGGTTTCGGGTTTAGGGTGTAGGGCTTGGGTTGAGGGTTTAGGGTTTGCTAGTTCAGGGCTGCGGGTGTTAGGGTTTACTGAGCCCTAAACTGTCTAGACTCTATGGTTTACATGTATAAACTGAGGCGAGGTCGTCCAGTAACTTGTTCCACACGTCCACGAAAGCCTGACAAAGGGCAGGTGAGGTGAGGCTTTAGGGTTGCTGGTCTAATATAGGGGCCTCAATAATTAGAATCGGGCTTTGGGGTCCATGATACTATGATTATCATCAAGAACCCCCCCCAAAAAAATAGTATTGTTCATTGTTGAAGCCCCTACATTAGAGTTGAGGGTGTAAGCTTCAGATGGAGGGTCCTGAAACCTAAAGGGTTTAGGGTTTAGGGTTTAGGGTTTAAACAGAGACTCCTAGAGACTCCCCGCAATCCTCGAGCACTAAGGGCGCGAAACAGGGGTTCTCCGAAGCCAAACCCCAAAAACCCTGAGCAAGGAAATCCCCCAAAAGCAAGGGGTAGAAGGGTAGCAAGGGAAACCCTCAAACCCAAAGGTAGGAGAGTATTTTGGGGAACCGCAGAGCAAGGAGACGAAAAGATGAACCAACATTTTTTGAACTCATCCTTGCAACATAGACGCGGAATAATGACTCAGAGCATGTCCATATTTCCCTGCTACCCTAAACCCTAAACTCTAATGATATTCCCGCACTTCCCCTGAAACGACCCTATATAGCAAGAAAACCAGAAACGTGTTGCTTCGTGGGCTTCCCAAGACCCTAAACCCAAACGGTCTAGGGTTTAGAGTTTAGGGAACTACCCTAAACCCTAAACCCTAGACTTTAGACTCTAAACCATAAACCTTGAATTTACAATTTTACAACTTCAAAAACCTAAACCCTAGCGGTGGCCTGGAGCTCCATGTCCGACATACGCCTCGCTCGACTTGGGGCTGTGGATTGGGGGGTGGTAGAGTTTAGGGTTTAGGGTTTAGAGTTTAGGACTTATACCAGGGCCCTCCAAGTACCCTCAAATAAGGGTATATGGTCCCAAATTAAGGGCATTTAGGGTCTAATAGAGGGCAGATGGAGGGTCTAGGTAGGGTTCAGGGTTTCTTGATTTTAGGGTTTTGGGGTTTAGAGCTTAGGACTTATAGGGTTCAGGGTTTCTAGGACTTATGGGGTTTAGGGATTTAAGGCTTATAGGGTTCAGGGTTTCTTGTTTTTAGGGTTTTGGGGTTCGGGTTCAGGGTTTAGGGGTTCAGGGTTTCTTGTTTTTACAAGGGTTTTGGGGTTTAGGGTTTAGGGCTTAGGATTTCGGATGTAGGGGCGAGGGCGCAGGGCTTCGCTTTTCGGGTTACGGGCCGAAGGTTAGGGTTTGGGGTTTCGGGTTTGGGGTGTAGGGTTGAGGGTTTAGGGCTTAGGATTTCGGGTTTCGGGTTTGTGGACGACTGACTCCTTTTCAGGGGGATTCTACACTTGCTCTTGCTCCGGGTGGGGGAGGAGGGGGGGTTTATGATCTGGGTTTAG